GTTTCCAGCCCTGTTTTTTGTTCATGCTATTTCTCAGGTGATCGAAATTGGTTTGGAAGTCATCACATTCGGGTCTTCGTAAACGATGGAGGAAAGCGTTACAGGTTACGGTCACTTATCGGCGGGAGAGAATGGGTTTTTATGAAGTCATGTGCTTTGGATCTCCAACTGTTCCGATCAGATCAATTTATATTGGGGTTTCGATCAAAGCAGCTAATGTATAACGCGGGACGAACCTTCAACAGGTTATTCAAATAGTTGTATAGTTTTAAGGTAATCAAAATATCTTAAGCGGGTTTTGACATGGGCTTCTGAACAAGGATAGCCCGGAAAGGAAAACAAAACGTTGACAAATATTCACAACGTAATCCCCGATCCGAATCCGATCCGAATCCCCGATCTTAAAGACCGATCTAAAAAGACCGAGTATCTGAATTTGAAAGTTTTAGTTCGGGGCATATCTCACTAGGGCTATTTTTATAATATGACAGCCGAAGTGAGAAAATTTCTGATTGACCGAGCGATGCGATGTGCACGTGCACTTGGATGTGATTGGTTGGAATGTGATGTCAAGTGCAAGACAACGGAACTGGGCTGAATCTCTTTTCTGCAAAAGAACATGTCTGTTTTCGACAAAAACAAAGAGCATGGTCGGTCCCAGCGTTTCATGCATTATTGTGTTCTATATTATTCTGGATACTCTTAAAGGCAAAAAACGTGTCCTTGCGTGGTCATACTGATGATTTTTGTCCAGATATTTAGGCACGCTATGGAAGTGCTCTAATTTTCAGATTATGTACGGCGTATTGGCAGAGCTGAAAGGTTAAGATGGCTGATCGGCGACAGGCCTACTTTTGTGCACCATTTTAGTAGAGAAGGTATGTCGTGCTGAGCCGGAGGGGATTTCAAGCTGACTTCTTGAGTTATTTGCGCGTCTCAGCGGTTCCAGTGCCGACTTAGTGACGTCGGAAGACGTCACTTAGAATGTCCACGCTGTAGCTTCTAATCATGGGTTACCCTAAGTCCACGCCGTAGCTCATAAATGTCCACTCCGTAGCTTCCAACCACGGGTTATCCTAATGCCCATGCCGTAGCTCATAAACGTCCACGCCGTAACTTCTAACCACGGGTTATCCTAAAACGATGTCTGCCGTTTACTTACAGGCTTTACATCAAGGCCCCGCCCCAGTGGACACATCGTGCCAAGCAGTCGTTACCATTGCAACGTCTTCTTGCGAAAATCATGATCCTGCCCCTTGTTTTGCTCTGCAGCTTGCAGCAAACGGTTCTTTTGGCATTGTGATATATTATTATTGTTATGCAGTGTGTGCTCGCTCATGAGTAATTTACGCGCAACGGAAATTTTAGCGTCGCAATCGCGACTTTTGCAGTCCGTGTGCCGGGTCCTCTAAATGTTGCGCTCGTTCCATGCAAGTTCAGGGTTCTTCCAGGGTTCATTGCATGCTGTGACCCTTTTGATTTGTCCGGCTTTTTGTAAACAAAACTCTCCGGGGAAGCTTTCCGACGATAATAAGGGACCGCTTTAGATATGGCCCCTGTGGTCTTGTGTGCGAGGTCGCGCACCGCTGTCATCACCGAGCTGAGCACATTGTGGGGTCTGGGAATAGAAAGTGGAAAATTGGCCGGTAGTAACTTTTTCAGATAGTAAAATTGATTAAGTGAAATTTGCCTGCGCTTTTTGGTAAGTGCGAGAGAACGGCTTCCAAGAGGCTACTTTTTTAATGCATATTGGTCGCAGTGAACTGGTCTGCATGCCTGCGTAATTTGCAAGGCACGGCTGGTTTCGGTTTTGGCCACAGTGCACCAGTCAACGCCAGTTAAAAATGGTGGCATCGTTCACTTCCAGATCGATAACTGACGTCCCTGTGAGTGAGACGTTGCTTAGGTCACTTATTCAGTTGGGGATGGGGTTGAGGTTCTTCCCCCCCCCCCCCCAATTTGTGTTCCGACCTCCAACTTTGAAATGAAGGTGGACCAAATCCGAAGAGAAGCCCGTTTGTTTGCTATTTTGGAGATATGTTGCGCCTTTTCCAGCTGCTAATCCCTCCCTATTTTATTTTGCGAAACTACGGCCCTGTATGCATCCATATTATATCGTAAGTCACGGAAGATAACCGTCCAGGTACCGCCAACATGCAGGTGCTGACTGAAAGGCGATGTTGCCACATACACTGAGCTGAACATATCTGCAATGGTAACCAAAAGCCGGGGACGGTGTGTTCCTTGACATGGGATGTTTAGGCACGACCGAGATACCGGAAGTGAAATTGTGTGACGTTATGTGCGCTGACCGAATCAATCGCGGCGTAGAACACTTCTCTCTACCTATCAGTCTCGCACATGTCTGTGTTCACTGTAAGGGGTAAGAGCAAACATGGCTTGTGCTAACTGGGCTTTGCTGTTCGAATCAGGATTCGAAACAGGGTTCGAATCCCGGTTGCCCCATGGCACCTGAGCGCTAATTTCGCTCATGTCGCTGGCGTTCAATTAAATGGACTTGACTACGCGCGTTTCGTAAAAAGGACAGGAACGACCTCGAATTGAACGCGATCGTGTGAGTTTTTTTGTGGCTTCTGGTTGGAAGGTCCGGTGTGTTGCTGTCTTCAGATGAATGCCATCAGCTCAAGTTATTCGCTAGTTATTGATTACGTTAAAGCTGGTATGGCGTAGAAATTACGCGCGACGCTGAACCATTGAATCCATGAGAACTACCAAACAAGATAAAAATGTGTTACAAACACTGCAAGACATTTATTAGGTATCATGGCGTCGACTTACAAGCTTATGTACCGGCTGTTCGGACTGATGCCATAGCTCATTTGCCAGATAAGATATGAGCTGAAATGTTTGCACCGTCTTTCATATGGTGTCCAAGCATGGCCTCTGTTTAAATATTGAATCGTCCGTGTTCTAATCTAAGATGTCTTGTTCAGCCAGCCCTGGCGATAAATAATGCAAAATGGGCATGTTCCATTAGGCCCAAACAGTATATGCTAGCCTTTATGGGCTAACGGGGCCCACTGCCTTGGTCGGAGGTCCCATGCCGACCTTCTGTGTGTCGGGGATGGGAACAGTGAAGGCTACCCTCGGAGGCTCTTCCGTCCGCACAGGTGACAGCGACGTACAGGTGTACCCGGAAGGCTCGGAATATCAATCCCGAACATTCGACATTGGCTTGTGCCTACTTGTTCTTGCCTAGCATTTCACCTTGGTGCGTTTCTGGGGAAACATTTTTTACCATGACCAAAGTGTTCTACTAATCACGCACAAACACTTTTTCCGAAAAAATGCGACTGAAATTTATAGAAGCTCTCTCGATTGCGGCTGTTGCCGTGGAATCTCTGCAACCACTTGGCGTATTGTTTGGTGATCTTTGATTTTTGGGGTAGATGGTACATTTCCGAAAAGTCTTGATGTTGATGACGGCGACGGTCTTAGATCGCGACCTCTTCCTACGGCTAGCCAGAATAAACTTATTCTTCTCCCGTGTCAGAACCGAAGTATGGTGAGAGGAATGGCTTTAAATTTATATCGATGTTCCGTCATGCAACAGCAGTTGATAAAAGCTACCAAACCAAAAAAGGCCGGAATGTTTTTCAGGACCTTTGTCTCTGTGGAATTTCTGCCCTCGACCTTTGGTTTTTGACAAAAATTGCAACGGCGACCTCGGCTCTGGGGATTCATTTTTGGTCCCCGTGCGGCATTAGGGGTGAAGTTTCGCAAAATGGATTGAGGGTGGGGGTTTGAACAGTGAAAAGTGGAGTAACCTACCACTAAAATAAACGAGGATCTCCCCGGCATTGTTCTACTTTTTCTCAAAGTTGGAGAGTTCGCCCCCTTCCCCCCACCCGACTGAATAGGAAACTAAACCCGGTGTGGTATGATATAATAATATGAATAATACCTGGGGCCAAGTGAGTGGGTCTTATCCCGTTTTACGTGGATCTTCGTCAAACGATGGATCTTGGCTCATTACGTAGACATCATGCATAAAGATAAAGTCAGCCTTCTGATTTCAGAGTTGGATCTGGGGGGGGGGGGGGAAGGGGTGGAACTGCGACGGCGAAGCTGAAGCCACTGGCTCAGAAATTTGTGCACGGAAAGCCGAAGTGGACGGCTTCAATCTAAAGAAACGGGGAGCTTAAGCTGAATCCATATGTTCGTGAAAATCGTGAAACTAAAGCCGAAGTGGAACCTAGTGTTCAACATGGTGTTACGATATCAAAACCATTTTGGGTGTGCTAAAGCCGCGTGCGATCAGAAAATATAAATCAAGGCTTACGGAGCAATTGAGACGAGTTGTAACAAACGGATGCGTCGCAGCCGGAAAAATTGCATGTATAATGCGGATGACGGGACAGTGAAAACTCGTGTAAGTAACGTCGCAACTGCATGGAAATAATCACCAAGTCAGCGCCGAAGTCTGGTCTAAGGCGGCATGAAACCGAAGCCGGACAGGAAACCGACGCCTGACATGAAACCGAAACCTGACAGGAAACCGAAGCCGGAGCCATGGTTCAAAAATTGTTGGAAGGCGAAGATAGCCGTTTCGAAATGACAAAAAGCTGAAGCGTAAACCAAAAAAAATCGTCAAAAATGCTGCGAACCCCAAGCCAAAGTCAGTCGTGAAAAATGGCCTGAAGCGGATACCGAATCTGAAGCGAAGAAAAGTGCACCCTTGCCAGCTGAGGCCGAGCCCAAAGCCGGCTGCGACCCCCATGCCTGGTTGACGTTCGGCAATATTTGTAAACTCCACATGCTGCCGTGGAATGGCTCGTTTGGTTAACATAACAGCTTTCAGCAGGCCGCAAGGTCGGTTCAGGGATCTTGCCAGCAGCCGTAAATACCCGGTTATTGGCAATGAAGCCACGGTTAGAACAAGAGGGCCTTTTCACAGTCGCGCTTCTTCTGTGTTACCTGCCATCGGCAACCGTCGCGAGCTGCTGAACGACAGCGTACTAACCGAACCCCTTCCACAGGCACGCATGAACCTGCCGGGGGCGCGGTCGTAGCCAAAGCATGATCAAGGAGCCGAAAGAGTCGAAGAAGGCGAAGCGGTCGGGCTCGGGCGGCGCGGCCGGTCCGCCCGACGGCGGCGTGCCGCTGGGGCTGACCGGCTCGCCGCCGCTGAAGCCCGACCCAGAGGGCCTGGTGGCCGCCGGGCCGCCGTCGGCCGAGACGGGCCCGTCGACCGACGTCGCCCCGACCACGCCGCAGGGTGAGCACGGGGCGCGCGTCGCCCGGCCTGGGCACGGCGGCTGACTGGGGCCGACTGGGTCACTGGTCGGGGCCGACGGGGCCACTGGTCGGGCGTCTCTTTCTGGAGGCCAATGGGAGATCCGTAGGGGTCTTAAGTCGAAAACACAAAATCCGGATTAAGTAGAATTTCATGACATTTACGAGTAGAATTGTAATTCCAAGACATTCGATGCAATGCAAAAGTTCAAGAATATTCAGTGCTTTGTAAATCAATGTGAATAACGAGCCTGTGCTCTTATTAAAGAGGAAGTGAAAAGTGTCTACTTTGATTTACACTGTTCTTATTGCCCTTTGTATGATAAGGGCAAAGGCTCTTATATCTTCTTACCCTACTTCGCACTTATTTGAAGTATGCCAATAAACTATATCCGAACTACCAACATCGTAGATATCGCAGCCCAGTCATTCAGTTGGAAGATGTCTCTGCACAGTTCGTGGTTTAATGTATCAAGGTCCCCCTCCACTGAACATTTGCGAAGCTTAGCAGATCGCCGCACGACGCTGTCCTTAAAGGCCGAGGAGATCCACAGGAATGATCCAGAATTCGGGGTCGGGCTCTCGAAGATCCGTTTTGCATCCATTGACCTGTCTGCATGACGGTGCGTTCCGCATCGGCAGGGTTCCGTGGCAGCGGCGGGGCGGCACCTCAGCCTGCGGCGTTCGCTGATGTCGCACCTATGCCACGCCGTCGGTCGATATCTCGGGAGGCACCGAAGCATGCGTCAGTGCAGTACATTTGTGGCGTTTTTGGTCCGTAAGCGTATTGGCCCGACACGAACGGGCGGAGGCAGTTGATGCGGTTGGTTGTGTAGGGGCATGGGGCCGACTTAAAAACACTGAGGAGGTGGTTCGCATGGCGGCGCGACCGCGCGGGCAGGACAGCTGGATGCATGCACTCGCTGCATTTGGTGTTGCAACCTCGTCTATCCTTTCCAGCTGTTCGCTTTCATTTCCAAGTTTTCCTGTATTCACTTGTATCTGTACGTCTATGGAGGAGTTTTAGGTGGCGTCGTCTGCAAATAGTTATGAAGCTTCTGTACGTTTCTTATCCGCGTTCTTACTTTCCTATCTGTCTTTATGTGGCGAGGTGTGGACCACATATAACGCTAGAGTCGTTCTTAAACTTCTTAAGGGACTCATATAGTGTTGTTTGCGGACTCAGCTCTCACTCAGAAGCCTCCAATGTTTGCCAAATTAGTGTATGTCATGGAGGTTCAGATGTATTTAGGTGCGTGCCCATGGTTCAATGTTTGCCCTCCAATGGCAGCCTCAGACACCACTTCGCGCTATGCACTCACCGTCGTCTTTCGTCGCTATTATTTAACCGGGCTGCGCAATGTGCAATGGCCCGGAATGATAATGATTTCTGGTTTTCGAGAAAACGTTTACCCCCTGCACGGTGTTGCGTTACTAGACCGTGAACAGGTGTGCAGCGTAGGATCTTTGCCTCGAGTGCCGGAGGCCATTGGCAATTTTGAGTCGTCCACGCACTGCTGCTAGATTTCTTTTCATTTTCTTCCACTCATTTGCTTCATTTTCGCCTTTTGCTTGGTGTTCTCTTGAAAGGACTATGCCATTGTGCGTGCTCTGTTCCATCAGCTGATTTTATGCGTGCTTTCGTGGCTATCACGCCAACGTTTTCGTCGTGGTGGGATCGTTTTAGAACGGCGTCTAACCACTTGAATCCCCTACGTGACAGTTTTTTCTTTTGCACTGTATACAGCAAGACAAGCGTATGGTGCGCTTTGGAATGTAATGTTTAGTCGACTGCCAGGCTGTTATTATTGTTCTCCCTTCTTCCGTATTATCCTCTGCCTGATCGTACAGACAAAGCTATCTTTCTGACATTGCCGGTCACTGCGCGCCCCGACCATCGCGAAGACTGATGGCTGACCAGGCGTGGCCCATCTGTCGGAGCCTGGCGATATTGAGCTGGGTCGGGCCGCCTTCATCCGACGGCTGGCGTCTGCAGCTGCAGCCTCCGCGCCCGCCCGACAGCTGGACAGTGCGCTCCGCAGACCTGATCTTCGCCTCTTGCACTCTGCGCTCGCAGCTGGACCGGGCCGGCACACGCGCTGCGGCGAGCCTGGCGCTCTGAGCCGGTCGCGGCCGGGGGTGCATGCAGAGAGGCGTCGTCGCGACACTGGCAGCCGCCGTCCAGCCAGTGTCGCGGTCGCTCTTGATCCGTGTATGCGTGTGTTGGGCTTATCGGAGCACTGATCCGACCCGATGAGTCCGCAGCCTGTGCGGATTTCTGCCGGTTCTGTGCGCTTGTCGTCCGCTTCTGTGCGCTCCGTACCGGCTCGTCCGGAACCCGTTGCCTCAATGCGTGTCTGGATAGGTGGTGGGCGCAACGTCAGCAGCCGATGTCACCCGTAAGTGCCACGTCGGCTCGTCCGGCCGCCCGCTCTGGTGATGGTCCCTGGAAGCGTAGATTTTAGGCTTTGTGCACTGCTGGCGTTGCGGGGCGTTCGCCTTGGCTGTCTCCTCCGTTCCTCTGCACAGTGGCCGGAGGGTACGAGAATGGCCTGGTGTCGGGGCTACACTGCCAGTGTTTGCTTCAGCGTCGCTGGCCACCACTGTAATGACCGTTTCACTCGTGAACGCTGCGCCAGCCGTGATGGCGGCTTCGGCACCAACCGAGGCATCGGCACCGTTCAGGAATGGCTGCCTTCGTAGACGGCCGCAGTGGCCCGTTTGTCCGACCGACGGCTGCCGCTCCAGAGCAGCGGCGGCGCCGCCATCGTACGTGGCGTCGCCGCCGGTCGCCGTCGGCCCGGTGTCGCCTCGGCCGGCGTCACCGGGTGGCGCCGCCGTGCAGCCGCGGCGCGGCCGCCGCCGGCGTGGTGATTGGGGTCAGGTGCACTCTGCAGGCAGCCAGCAGACGGCGCAGCCGCCGGCCCGCCTCCCACGGCCGGCCGGTGCGGCCGGGCGCGGGCCGCGCGGCGACGACGACGGCCAGCCTCCCACGGCCGGCCGGGCGGCCGGGCGCGGGCCGCGCGGCGACGACGACGGCCAGCCTCGTACGGCCGGCCGGGCGGCCGGGCGCGGGCCGCGCGGCGACGACGACGGCCAGCCTCGTACGGCCGGCCGGGCGGCCGGGCGCGGGCCGCGCGGCGACGACGACGGCCAGCCTCGTACGGCCGGCCGGCCTGCGGCCGGGCGCGGGCCGCGCGGCGACGACGACGGCCAGCCTCGTACGGCCGGCCGGGCGGCCGGGCGCGGGCCGCACGGCGGCGACGACGGCTGGCGCCGATGCGTGCCACGTTCCCGGCCCGGTCTCTGCGGCGGCCGCTTTTTAGCCGCCAACGGTGGGGTGATATAGTCAAGAAAGGATTGGGCCTCCTTTTGGTTATTGAATGCTCTTATGTTGAAAAGAACTGATCTGTTTTGCAAGAGGAATTGGTGGAAGGCAGATGTCAGGCAATGGCTGGCATATACTATGAAAATAGTTAACGTTTCGAGCACTAGTGGTCAGGAGCAGTCTCCTTATGCTATACCCCAATGATTGTTTGATATCTTCAATCATCGGTCACCCTAGGATTGGTGCCTTCTGACCTTCTCGTATATTTATCGTCTTTCATCATCGACATACGGGCTCATGATGATAACATGATACGTGTGTATCCAAAAACGTCTTTCATCATCGACATAAGGGCTCATGATGATAACATAATACGTGTGTATCCAAAAACCTCCTTGGTTCTCGGGTCTCCGTGTCAAGCGATAGGCATCGTCGCTTGTTGACCCACGCCTTGGTGTGTTGTGTTGGTGTGTTTGGGCTGTAGTGACGCGTGATCCTCGCTCGCGGGCGCTCGTGCGGACCAAGTCACCTCAGTTGATCGGAGGTGTGTATAGGCTAGGACGTCCGCTTGCGGTGTGAGGGTGACGTGATTCTGACGGGCCGTGGATGATCCAGTGAGGGTGACCTTTCCTCTCCGTGTGATGCGGATTAGCGTGCCTGGAGCTGGCCGGCGTTGATCTGTCGGGAGGGACGGGCTCCGTGAGAGGGCGCGGACGGCGACCGACGGCGACGGCGACGGCGGCTGCGCGGCGCTGCCTGAGGGCCGGCGGCTGCCCCGTGAGGTGTGGCCTCGGGTGGGGGCGGCGGCCGTCTGGCTGCCGGGGCTGGCCGGCTGGGTCGGGCCGACCGACCGGCCGCAGTCTGTTTGGCCGGGCGTCGGCCGCCGCCGCTGGAATGCGACTGGAGTGCGGAGGCTGGACGCGGGTCCGGCCGGCCTGTCGCGCGGCGCGACTTCAATCGCGCGCGCGCCGCCGCTATCTGCACGGCGCGTCTCAGCGAGGCCCACCGTCGCACTCCTGATTAATTGATCTATGGTGCCTCTCGCGAGACGCTAAGCCGGCGTGTTCACCAAAGATACGCGGGCCGCCGGCCGCGGTGCGGCGCCGCCGTCAAGGGCGATTATTGCCTGCCGCGATCTCGGCGATGTTTCAATAGGGCCGCCGTCCTGGCGGCGGCGCGTCAGGCGAAACTGGTATTTAGCGCGTGCGAGCGCGGCGGCGGTGTCGCGGCGCTCGGCGGACGGGCCGAGTCGGCGCCGGCCGCCGGGAACAAAGGCGGCGGCGGCCGGCCGCCAGTCGGGGTCCGCCGAGCCCAGCCGAGCCGCCCGCCCGCCCGCCCGCCGCCCGCCCGGCCGGCCACCAACAAGTGGCACTGATACATCAAACCGAGCGGTCGCCCGCCGCCCGATATTGGCCGATGCTTTGTGTCTTATCCGCGTATCCGTCAGTGGAGCGCTGACGGTCGGGGGGAGAGGGCGGTGACGGTGCGGCCGACGCGGCGCGCGGTGCACGGCGAGACGCCCGAGTGGTGCGTGGGAGTGCGTGGCCGTGACCGGCGCCGGCGCCGCGAGCGTCTCGGGTCAGGGATGGCCGGCCGACACCGCTGTCAGCGCCGACCGCTCAGACCATGAACGCCGCGATGACAGTGGCCCATGA